GTACTTTCCACTCAATTTTGCTGTGAACCTAAAACTGCTCTAAAAATAAAGTTCATCAATTTAAAAAAAGGAAGAAAATAAAATACTTGGTGTGGTTAAGTGATTTGTTCAGGACTACTGAGGCCATGGATATCCAAAGATTTATAATTTAAACCCAGGTCCTCATTCTCTTTCTACAATACCTCAAAACATTCTGTGCCTCAAAGCATGACAGCTTAGGCATCCTATTTGAAAATCACATACAGGTCTCAATGATTAATTAGAGATTTTCTATATAGCCGGAGAGAGGTAAATATTCTGTAATAACAACTGCTATATATTAGGTCAAATAATGTAAAATTGCTATTATAGTTTAATATTATTTTAAAATACATATTTCATCTTATTTTGGTAAACAACATTTCACTCCTGATGATAACTTGCTTTCTTTAATTCCTGGTTTATTTTGTCATTTCGTCTGATGGTAATTGGCCTGTATAATGATTAGCAAATAACCTGTGACTTGTAAAAAGGTACATCTTAGGCTAAGAAAATTGACTTTGTATAAAACTGTTCTGCTTTAATTTTTTGTCTTTTTTTTTTTTTTTGGATGGAGTTTTGTTCTTGTTGGCCAGTCTGGAGTGCAATGGCGTGATCTCGGCTCACTGCAACCTCTACCTCCTAGGTTCCAGAGATTCTCCTTGCTCAACCTCCCCAGTAGCTGGGATTACAGGCACCAACCACCCACTCCCGGCTTTTTTTTTGTATTTTTAGTAGAGACGGGGTTTCACCATATTGCCCAGGCTGGTCTTGAACTCCTGACCTCAGAGGATTCTCTTGCCTTGACCTCCCAAAGTGCTGGGATTACAGGTGTGAGCACCCAGCCTTTTGTCTATTTTTTGTTTGTTTGTTTAAAATTCTCTATTATGCTAATAGAAAAATACATTAATATATACATATCAGAGTTCTTTAATTCTTGATCATTTCAAAAATAGATGTGTAATTATTTCTCTAAAATACCTCACTAGTTGCTATATAGTATGTGATCTGTCTTCCTAAGGATTACATTCTTTCTTCTTTCATAGAATTGGAATGTTATGTGCTGTGCAATTATGCATACTAGATTTATGGCAAAAACAAAAGAAAAATTGTGGTTACCCAAAAGTAAAATAGTAAGTACAACATAAAACATTGTGCTGGATACATAGAAAAATTTATTAATACCATAATTATTTTCTTTTACAGAATGGATGCCAAATACATATTTATCTCACTGAAAATGTCACATCGCTTTATTGGAGGTGAATTTAAAAAGCATCGCACATTTGATTAAAATGAATGATGACTCATTAGTTACAGCATGTTGGGGGAAACCTCATACCATTTAAGGTCATGACTTGAATGTAATATAAAGGTTTCATGGTGTGTGTGTGTGTGTGTGTGTGTGTGTGTGTGTGTGTGTGTGTTTTCCTTTACTTTTGTAAATGGATAATGCTACTGCCTGAAAGCTGTCTGGGAATTCAGCCAACAAAAGAAGAGGGTTGCAATAACTCTGGGGACTTGCAAGAAAAGTGGCTGGCGTTAGCTTGGTCCGCACTTTAAACTAAAATTAAAACAATGGACAGACATGTACAGTAATCTCTCTTTTAAGGAAAGAATAGAAAGCTTCTATAGTAGTGTCAAGTGGAACAATTTGGTCCTGGCCCAAGTTATGCAGCTGTTTCACAGGAAAATGGCAAAAGGCTTCAGTCCAAAGCAGGCAAATAAGGCATGATTGTTCATAAACAGTCACCGGGGCCCTCACATTTAGAACAAGGAAAACAACATTAGCATAAAGAAGGGCAGGTTCGGAACACCAGCCTCAGTGCAACTTGAGCCATGCCATGATGTTGTGATTTACGCAAAAGATAGTGGTGAGATTTTGCCTACTACTAATAAACCTAATTATTGTGAATAACTTATTCTTTAAAACATATTAGTCAAATACTTTTTAAGAAACAATGAAGTTTTGACCACAAATTAAATGCATTATTGAAGACAGCTACAAGTCATAAAAAAATCATATAGCCACTATTCATTCCTGATTTTCACATGCTAATGGGAGGTGGGTCAGGTAAATGATAAAGATGATATATATTAAGTGCTTGGGGCCTCACTCAAAGGCTAAGCTATAGTGTTGCTTCTCAGTGGTTCTTAAATAACAAAATGAAGATACAGGTACAATAGTTGCAAAATAATGGAGTAGAACTTTGACAGTGATTACCTGAGTGGAACGGGTCATTCTAACCTGCTGATTGAGTATATCACACATTTCATTTCAACTCCCACTCTTTTGTTGCTATTTTAAAATATGCAATACTCCCCATTATATGTATTATTATTATGAGGTTTATTTTAAAACGTGTTTGACAAAATTTTTTCTTATCCCTCTTCCACTTTTTGATTCATTTTTTCAAGTTGATAGTCTTTCCTTTAGTGACTATCTTCACTTCCCTACAACCTACTAACTCCCTGATTAAACCATTTCAATTTGCATCCTGTTCTTTTTGCTCTAGTAAGACTTTTCTTTATGATCAGTAAGATTTCCTTCTGAGAAAATCCAATTATTTCAGACTTCTCTTGTTTTTTGTCCTCTCTGCCTCATCCGGCACTGTTGGAAATAGTATACAAACTACAGAAAGGCTAAAAATGAGACTGTTTTTAAAGGATCAATGCCTTCCTCTAATGGAGAAGATAGTTACTGTAACAATACAGAGAAGTTTAAGATGATTATGAAGAATGAAGAAAAAGCAATAGTCCAAATGAAGAAAGGCATCAAAGAAGTTGATTCTAACTTTAATACTAATGTCCTGACAGTCTGCAAGGAAATATGATAAAGGAAATGTTGTGAATGAGAATAGAAATCAGTTAATACATATTTACTTGTGGACCATAGCATACAGAATATAACATTGGGATCTATGAAGATGAAGGCAACATATCATGACTACTTTACTCTGAAGGCGTTGTAGAGCTTATGAGTTATTTGCCAAAACCTACTATATTACATATTTTTATGTGGTTATGAACCCATGCCAGAAACGATTAGTTTGGTAGAAATTCGACAAGTTTCCAGAAATAATATAAATATAGAAGAAAGCCTAATAAAGGAGGATGGCAACAGTGAAACACATCATGAAACTAGCCAGTTCACCGCCCTAAAGCATCTACGGGCTCAACTTCAGTGGTAAAAATCATTGTCAGTCCCATTCTAGTTTTTCAAAAGTAACTTTAGCTAGAATAAATGGGAATTTACACTTAGCAATCGAAGTAGCAGCACATAATTGAAAGAGTGAAGGCTTTGGGCAAGACTGAACTGAATTCAAATTCTCACTCACTCATTTTAAATCTGGACACATAGGAAAATTTAGTTAAGACTTTAGTTGAGCCTTAGTTTTCTCTTCTGTAAAATAGGAAGCCTTTCTTATTTCCTTTCTCTGTTTGCAAAATGATAGTAATCGGGAAACTTCTGACAAAAGGTAATATTTCCCATTTTATAAGTCTCTTGAAATTTGTATTCTTAAATAAAATAAATGAGAAATATTGTGCTTTTCATTCATCTGCAGTGCAGAGGATTATTACACATCCAAGATTATTTCTAGATAACTGAAAAGAGATTAAAAGAAGACACATTCATTCAACCATATCTTAGATGAGTGATATAAACTACTTAAATGTTTAATTATATAAAACGTATAGTCTAATGATTTCTATAAGTAAAATAATGTTTCTACAGTTGGAAGTAGATATGGAATCAAAGAATCATTGTAAGACAATCGGATGCTACTAGAGCAGGCATTCATTTATTTTCAAGCATTCTATAAAACATGTTCCCTAACTTCACCTCATTTAATTGCATACAATGTGCACATAATCCAAATGTATACAAACATACTTTTGGGTAAATCTGAAGGAAAGAAGAGCAAAAACAATGTCTGCAAAATAATTACTAGAAGAGAGAACAGTTTAAAAATATCAAAACTGTGGTAAAGAGGGCATGGTTTTATTAATATGGTAAAAAATATAATACATACACTTGATGAAGTTAAAATGTCAGGCATCTATCGTACAATTCTTTTAGAAAAATTCCTGATGGGACAATATGAAACTTATACTTAAATAATATAAATGTTATTGGAGGCAAATTTTTAGTAATTTAACCTGATTTGCCAGAAGCAATCTCATATAGTTATATACAAAGAACAATTTAATTCCTTCTATTAAAATTTAAACAGAACTCAAATAAATTGGAATCTTTTAAAAAATCAAGTAAATTCCATAAAGCTAGGCCTAGAGTGTTCCTATATTAGAATGATCATATTGCTTTCAAATAGAATTTAAACAATCCATATTTAAATATCCATATGTAAGTTATGCTTAATAATTGGTATTCTTTGGCTAGCTATTTATAAACACAAATTTCAAAAGGTGAAGTTTTAGAGTTGAAGTGACATTATCACACTGACGTGCCTATATTCTAATAATGAAATTACTTTACAATTAAGCACATTGAGTTTGTGACCTGTTACTTGTTTCACTGGGTGTTTCATAAGAAACATAGATTTGATTTTCCTTTTATGAAAGTAATTCTCCATGTAACTTTAAAACCTGGACATATTTTGGGGATGCTTCGGTATTTTCTAAGTTTTTCATGGGAGAACTAAGTTCAACAATGGGCAGCTTTTAGAGTCTGACGATATAAACAGTGACTGATACACTCCATTCAGGTTTAAATATCTTACTGGAAAAAATAAAAAAGAAATACCATCTGGAAATCTTCCCAGAAACTTCACTAGATGACAAAGTAAAAACCAATCTTCCATAGACATTAATGAAGACATGGTTCATGGGGTTTTCTGTTCTAGAGATCACTGTGCCCACCAAGAAACGACAAAAACTGTGGATTTCTGCAGTTAAAGCCTGTAATCAAAGCAAGATAAAAGAAAAAAGTAAAAAGCTTTATTGCTCATTAACTCACTTACAGTGGTTTTCCTTTGGATTCACAAGTCAAAATTAAAGGCTGTCCTTCTTGTGGAAAAGGAGTCGATGGTATAATCTTAACTGATGGTGTATCTAGAAACAAAAGAATATTAAGAAGGGTGATTAAACACATACAAAACTAGATATTAAATAACTGTGCATCATGCTGTGTGTTCAGCATTTCTTATATATTATTTATAATTGCGTATATTTATAAAGGATTTCTTAGATTTGGTAAAATAGGGTGTGTGATTTAAAAAGCTAACAACCTGTGTATGCAAAGCGAACAAAAATATCTCAATGTCTCCTGAGCACCACTGTTGTATTTTTTCTGAAATCTGAATTTAAAAGTGAAATTGCAAAAAGTGGTTCAGATGAATATCAAGCATTTCATACGATTGTTTCTTAAACTATTTATAGATGGCTATGAATACTATTATTATGGGCTGAATGCATTCATGTGCATCTGAATAACAACACTTTCATTGTTACGGGAATACCAGGGACTCACAATAAGGAACCCACAATGAACTCAAGATCAATTACTGTCGCACAAGCGTTATGCAGAATCTTTTCAAAATGCGATGATGCAGCACTGGGTACATGTGGCTTGCTCTGAAGTACAGCTAGTGAGTCACTTCCAATAGCATTTATGATTTTATTAAAAGTTAACATTTGCTATATATGCTACTGCATGTTTGTTAGAAAATTATTTGTTCCCATTTAACAATAAATCATCCCTAGTGAGAATTAAAGAATATTTTCAGACATTTGTATGTATAACTTGTATGACATACAATATTCCTTAATCAACACAAAGATAACATATTTCATAGAAGAAATGGAAAATAAGCTCAAAAAAGGGACAATATTAACACATTCTTTCTTTATGAGACTTTGCTAGTCCTGGCATTGTCTGGTCCACAGTCAATGTGGAATCATCTTCTCCTCTTATCTTCACATTCTCTACAATAAACAAAACAGGCTCTGAACTCTGCAGAAGATCACAATTATTCTTACTCTTCCCTTCTTAGCTGTAACAGAAGAACTGATCTGCACTGTTATTAGACACATTCTTTGATTTCGGAGCCAGTTAAATGAGTTACTATCAATTGTGTAATTTTTAAGTGGGTTACCTTATCTAAGGAAAATATTATTTAGATGTTTCATATATAAAATAATAAAGTATAATATAAAATGTAATAGTTTTTATCATACTTTAAAATTATGTATGATTTTCAAATGCATTCGCTGTCAATTCTTTAAACAAGAGAATGCATTTAAGATAATAAAAAATAATATTCTGGTTGCAAATAAGCATTTCAAATACATCACAGTAAATATTTGTGGTGTAAAATGACTTAGGAAGAAAAATTAATCTGAAGAAATACGATACATATTCATCATACTTTTTTTACTGTTAGAAGAAAAAAATTGAATATCAGATTTAAACATTCTTTATTAATTTTTTCCATTATCAGCACATCTATGGAATCAGTTATTGACTAGGATAATCATATAATTTTATCTCCGAAGCAGTACATTTTTAAAAGAAAAAGAGAAAATATTAATGTGTGAACCACACTGTTCTGGTCAAACTGAGGTCTATGGTCTTTTGACTTCTAACTAAACATACATATAGCAAAATTTATTTTCCCCATGACATATTATAAAGGAAAGTTTAATTTTCATGGAAAAAGTTTGAGGTGAAAGATCAGAAATGTATAATTTTGGGAAACAGAATTATGTTAACATGGCTGTCTGTGATGTTTAATTTTGTGTGTCAATTTGACTGTGCCTTGGGGTACCCAGCTATTTGACCAAACATTATTCTGGGTGTGAATGCGAGGCCGTTTTCTGGATGAGATTAACATTAAAGTTGGTAGACTGAGTAGAGCAGATGGCACGCCATGATATGAAAGGGCCTCATCCAATTTCTTGGAGGACTCAATAAAATTAAAAGGCGGCTCCTCCTCCAAGTAGAAAAGAAATCTTCCTGCCCGATGTCTGCATCACTGACTTTGATGCAGTGAACTGCAACACTGACTTTTTTCCTGCCTTTAGAATAGAATGGAAATTTGGGGTCTTTCTGGGTCTTGATCCTGAGACCTTTGGACTGGAACCATGTTATCAATTCTCTTCGTTCTCAGGCCATTAGACTCAGAGTGGAACTAAGCCATTGGCACTCTTGGTCTTCCAACTTTGCTGACTCACTTTGCAAATCTTGGGATTTCACCTCCATAATCATATGGACAATTCCTTACAATAAATGTCCTTTAATATGTATGTACAGCCTATTGGCTCCATGTCTCTGGAGAACCCTAGCACGGTTTCCAGTGTCCTCACAAAGAGACCCTGAGGCGTGTCTTTCATTGAGCGGGAAATGTGACAGGTGGTCATCTCAGGAAGCTCTGAGAAGTGTGACAGGAAGGGAAGGAAGTAAATGAAGCCTGTGTTATTGACCAGACTACCCTGTGAGCAAAGCAAATTGAGTTCAATTCCACGGTGGAACTGAGAGTGAGTGGAAGACATGACTCTGAGTTACCTTACTTGATGGGCAAGAGACGGGACTGTTTATGGAATATTTGTTTGCTTTGGTTGAGGGGGGGTGGGGGTGGGGAGGTTGGTGAGGAGGAGGTGTTGTTTCCCAGGCACTTTTGCCCTTCTCAGTACACAAAAATAGTACGTGCCAAAGGGAAATGGAAGGCCGCCATGCGGATCTGCTTCAGTAAGGTAAATTACACGGTGGCAGGCAGCTGTGAGAAAAGAGGAAGGCAAAATGTGGCTTTGCTCTGCCTGTTTAGTTCGAGCAGTACAGGAGAGAGGAGAATATGTGTAACAAATGTTCCCTCGAAGCATGATTCAGCATTCCCTTTAGATCTGGCACACAGAATTTCCTTCACAAGCAAACGCCAAAGCAGGTAATATTAAACTTAGCACACACTTCCGTAAAACTCTCAGGAATTACCTAAATAAACTCTAAGTTACTAAAAATCGAGAGATGTAAGCCAGTATTCATGTATTTGACTTCAGAATGATTCCAAGTGTTTGATTAGTTCCTGTTTCTAAGACTTATCTTTCCAAATAAATAAGGAAACAAAAAAAGGAATTTATGTAAAGATAATTTTAAAAAGGAGATTTGAAAACTTGTCTTCCCTAGATTTCCTTGACGAATACCTATGGCTCATCTGCTCCTCAACCCCTCCCTGCCACACGCCTGCTCCTGGTTCAGCTCTCAGGTCCCTGGCTACACTGTCTCAGATTCTGTTGGCGGGTATTTTTCTATGTAGCCTGTAAATGTTTAAGATCAGGGTGAATGGGATTCAAATTCTGTTCTCTCATGCTTTTCTCTAGGCCTTTTAAGCCTCACTCATCTCTTTAGTTTCCATGTACTTACCAGTCACTCATGGATTTGTGTCCTAGTTCTGTTCTGCTTCGCAAGCTTATTTACGTGCAATGCCTATGGGGCATGTTCACTTGGATATCTAAAAGGCCTGGCACATTTGATGTATTCCAAACGAACTCCGTCTCCAATCTTCCCCCCACATGTTTCTCCTTCATAGATCTCTAACTCTGTAGATACGACTAGCATCCATGCAGTGACATATACCAAATACCTACTGTTTCCTTGTTTTTTCTATTACCCCTGAACTCTTGTTCATCTATCTTCTAAATAATTTTCAAATTAATTCACTATGTTTTCATAGTTCCGTAGCCACTATTTTAATCTAGTTTGCCAAAATAGTAAATGATCTCCTTTGTGTCAAAATTTTCACCCTTTAAATCTTACTCTTACAACTAAAGAAAACTGTCTTCTCAAAACATAAATCTGGTCACATCAACTTACTAATTAAAACCTTTCATAGTCGTTTCTCTTAAAAATTATTAAACCATTTAAGTCCTGCATAACCTCTATCCTTTATGTTCTTGTCTTCTAATATTCTGTTTTGTTATTTGAATTCCAGGCAATTTTATTTTTATCAAGGTCTTTAATAAATGTGTTTCATTTTGCCTTCATACAAATTATCAGAAATGCTCCATTTTGGAGAGATTCCTTGCTTATTTAATTCTTACATGTTTTAAAAATCTTAATTCAAATGCCATTTGCTAAGCGCAATCATTCATTACCTTCAAATCTGATCAGATACCACTGCTGCATGTTCCTTTTTTCACCCTTGTGTAATGTTCTTTTTAAAAGTCATTGATATATCCTCCATGTCTTGCATAGTGTTTAAAAAAAGTGTGTGCTTAATAAATAATTACTAAATGAGTGGAAGTAATATTCTTTTTATTTTCTTTTTTTTAGACAAGGTCTCACTCTGTCCCCTAGCCTGGAGTGCAGTGGTGTGATCACAGCTCACTGCAGCCTCGGCCTCCTGGGCTCACATGAGCAATCCTCCAGACTCAGCCTAGTAAGTAGCTGGGACCACAGGTGTGCTCCACCATACCTGGCTAATTTTCTTTCTCTCTTTCTCTCTCTCTCTTTCCTTTTCTCTCTTTCTTTCTTTCTTTTCTTTCTCTCTCTCTCTCTCTCTCTTTCTTTCTTTCTTTTCTTTCTTTCTCCCATTTGTGAAGAGATGGAGTCTCACTGTGTTGCCCAGGCTGGTCTTAAACTCCTGGCCTCACATGATCCTCCCACCTTGGCCTCCAAAAGTGCTGGGATTACAGGTGTGAGCTACCATTCATGGCTAGCAATAAAATTTCTGATATAACTTCTCATCATCATTTTATTATACTATTCTAAAATATTTTTAAATGCTTAATTGAAATTTATTGGTACCTGATGTTTAGAATGTAGATTAACAAGATTAACATTATAATTAATATTAAATATTAATTATTATTTAATTAAGTAATAGAGTTATTAATTAATATATCAATTAATTAACATATAATTAATTTTACATATTTAAGTTGCAAACCTTAGATTAACTTTTAATCTTAGTTCATAGTTAATGTGGAATACTATTCAACCATAAAAAGAATGAGATCCGGTCATTTTTACCAAAATGGATGCAACTGGACATCATTTTGTTTTGCGAAATAAGCGATGCACAGAAACACAAACATCACATGTTCTCACTTATTTCTGG